AAGCAAGACCGCTGTGAAGAATCCCACCTTGATGCTGATGTTAGCTGTGTTCCTTTATCAGCTGTTAAAGGTAAAGCATATTTTTTACAAATTATTTCCATGGGGTGCGTTGTTCTATGGTTTGTGAGTTCCCTCTGAGATGATAAGAAAGACGTTTGTGGTGTCAGTACAAAAAGAAAAGTTGATCCAACAACAAAGTTTTAATTAAGAAAAAAATAAAAGAAAAGGACATCCCTCAAGGGGTCCTAGACTGGAAGATGCCCCAGGGGTCGCTGAGGGACCCCCAAGAGTGCATAGATTTTGAGCACTGATCATCCAGTAATATTATAACTGTGTATGGTGTCAGATGGGTATGAGATTAATTGCATGATTTCTTAGTCAACTATATAATGTCTAATCATTGAGGTGTACCCCTGAAATGAACCTAACATTCTATGTCAACTGTCATTTAAAAATGTATTAAAAATTCTACAGGACCATGTTACTTTCATAGAATCATATTTTACATTAAGTACGTATTGTACAGTTTGTTCTAGGAGAGAGATCTAAAGCTAAAAAGAAAGAAAAGTTGAGATTTATAAATTTGCAAAATAAACCAAAGGCAACCACAAACACAACCGTAAAAACCATAAAGATTAAAGCCAAGATAAAATGCGTTTGGAGACCCCATCCCCTGTCTTTTGATAACAGGTCCGATGTAGCGAGAGGCTCTGAGAACTGTGTCTGTTGCACCTTGGACCACGGAGGGGTCATGGCCGAGCTCCCGTCGAAGGTGCACCTCACCTCGCACCCCAAGTGCCTGAGGATCCGTGGACACTTGGTATATGAGGACGAGAAGCATCGCACATGGCTGCACCTCGTCATGGACACAGGTGTCCTGCATGTCCGCTTGCGCCAGGAAGACATCCCCAGTCGGCATATTGCACTCAGCACCAGCCCGCTGACCTTGAGCACCATGCCTTGGATGTGGACGCTCCATTCTGGCAGCCAGTACGTGGACCCCATGGGCCGGTTCTGGCGCATCTTGCACCACGTCAAGGAGAATGGAGTGGAGGAAATGATCCTTGAGCTGATGGAAGACTCGTAGGACACTTGCTGGTGTCCCTGGCTCTTGGCAACCTGAGCCCCATTCCTGCGGCCTGCCAGTGGGACTTGTATAGTTCTGTTCACCTTTTCAATAAGCTCTGTTGTTCTATCTGCCACCCCCTGGGTTCCAGGGCACATTGATGTCTCTCTCTCTCTCTCTTTCTCTCTCTCTTTCTCCTTGTTCTTCTTCTTGTTGTTCTCGATCTTTGTCTTCTTCTTCTTTTCTTCTTCTTCTTCTTCTTCTTCTTCTTCTTCTTCTTCTTCTTCTTCTTCTTCTTCTTCTCCTTCTCCTCCTCCTTCTCCTTCTTTTTCTTCTTCTCATCCTCCTCCTTTCTCTCTCTCACTCTGAATCTAGTCTTACTGTCTCTCTCTGTCTCTCTCCTTCTCTCTCAAATCAATAAAAGCATTTTGAGCCAAGGTGTTTTTCTCAGAGGTTGAGGGACGACCGATGAACCTGGAGGTCACGGTTTGATTCCTGGTCAAGGCACAGACAAGAATTAACCAATGAGCCCTAGTGGGTTTGGCTAAGTGGGGAGAGGGTTGGACTGTGGACTCTGGAAGGTCCCAGGTTTGATTCTGGTCAAGGGTACATGCTCTGGTTTTGGGGTCGATCCCCAGTAGGGGGCGTGCAGGAGGCAACCGATGTATGATTCTCTCTCATCATTGATGTTTCTTGCTCCCTTCCTGTATGAAATCAATCCTATATAATAAAAGCCTAATATGCTAAGTGTCTAGTCGACCTGTCATCTGTTCAACCAATCAAAGCATAATATGCAAATGATATACTAAGGTTTGCTCAACTGCTCACTATGACATGCATTTACCACCAGGGTCATGACATTCAGACTGGTAGGTCAGCTTGTTCCTGGGGTATGGATGATTGGGACTGAGTGAGACATGCTGGACACATCCTGGAGCCCTCCCATGGTCCCTCCCCAGCTGGCCAACCTCCCACATCCCACCCCGGCCCCGATCATGCACCAGTGGGGTCCCTCACCCTGGCCTGCACCCTCTCATAATCTGGGACCCCTCAGGGGATGTCAGAGAGCCAGTTTCAGCCAATCCCCGCAGGCCAGGCTAAGGCACCACACTAGTGCACAAATTTGTGCACCAGGCCTCTGGTAAAAATATATTAAACAGAGAAAGACAAAGAAAAAGACCTTAAGCCTAAAAATATTAGCCCAGCCCCATTAGACAAGGCTCAAAGAGATCACTGGAAATAGTTTTCTTTTCAATGACCAGAGTTCTCATTGTTTGATCTCCTGAGGTTCGTCAACCGATACTACCCTCTCCAAAAAAAACCATGAATGTTTGGGGAATTACGGGTTTTTTATTCTGATCATCTCTTTCCTTTGAGGAATTACGAGGGATGCCAGTGCTCCTCTCCTGAGGGCTTGAACCGGCTCTGTGTATGGCTTTAGCATCTAGCTCTGGACGCATTTGGGTTTTTAGTTGTGTTTAGCACTAAACAGCCCCAAAAAAAGCCCAGCGATCATAAAATTCATCTAGTATCGAACCAGAATGAGGCGGCGGAAAAGGGAGCCGGGAGGAGTCCCAAAAATTAATTTCAGGGCATCCATGGTTGGATTAATGAGATCACTGACTGCTGATAAAATTCTCCTACTACAGGATAGTGTTTGCAAATGCAAATTGAGACCTTTAAGGCTGAGGACTGGGGAGCGTGAGGGTCGTGTTTCCAAGTTGCGTTTCTCATATTCAAAATATTGCACTTCCGGCCCCACTGGCGTGGCTCAGAGGTTGAGCGTCAACCTATCAACCATGAGCCATGGTTTGATTCCCAGTCAAGGGCACGTGCCCGGGTTACCGGCTCCATCCCCAGTAGGAGGCGTGTGGGAGGCCGCTGGTCCGTGATTCTCTCTCATCATGGATGTTTCTCTCCCTGTCTATTTTCTTTCCTCTCTGAGTCAATAAAATCATTTGAAAAAATATTAAGCAAGTGTTGCATTCAGATTAAATGCACATTGTTGTAAAATAGTTTATTATTTTTTTGGTTTAACATACCAGGTTGGTAGTCATTTAAAAACGACCTAGCGCCCGAGATGGTTTGGCTCACTGGATAGAGCGTTGGCCTATTTTTTCAAATATATTTTTATTGATTTCAGAGAGGAAGGGAAAGGGAGAGAGTTAGAAACATCCATGATGAGAGAATCATGGATCAGCTGCCTCCTGCAAGTCCCTAATTGGGGATCAAGCCCACAACCTGGGCATGTGCCCTTGACCGGGAATCAAACCTGGGACCCTTCAGTCTGCAGGCCGACACTCTATCCACTGAGCCAAACCGGCTAGGGCCAATTTGACATTTTTAAAGGGTGGAAACGCCTTGAAGAAGAATGAAGCAGCTCAGCATTCATGTCACAGTGGGAATTACAACTCACCTCACCATTCTTTCCACATTGTTCCTGTAAATGCAGACTCTGACTAATAATGAAGCTTGTAGGTAAACAGCATGCTTGTATAAGAATCCTAGCAACTAATTTTACAAGATATGAACTCTGACCTTCCCAGTTCTGGGAGATTTGCTGACCTTCAACATTAGAACCAGGAGGACAAAGTATAGGATGAAGCACACTGGACCGACACCTGACCACTTGCAAGATCCTTATCAGATTGGACTGTGCCTGTCATCAGGTAGAGAACTTCTCAAGCCCCGCACGCTGACCTCCTTGCTCTATTTGGCCTCTCCCTCCTTATAAAAGCCTCTGCCTGCACTGAGATGTGCAGATGGGTTTTGGGACGAGCTTCCCCCAACTTCTCAGGTTGCCGGCACCTGAATAAACTTCTTTCCTTCCTCACCACCACCTGTCTCACAGGACTGGTTTCTAGGGTGTGAGTCAGGTGAACCTTGTTTTTTCTGGACACATTCCTGGTACATGGACTCGTTGGAAAATATGTATCATGGCCATTTTCTTTCTTCTGCATGTGACAGGGGGAAGCAGAGACCGGTCACAGAGGAAAGGAGCGAAGAATGGTGCTTTCCCTTCAGAGCAAGAAGAACAGGTAAAAAAAGATGAATGGGAGGAGGAGGAGGAAGGATTGGGGATGGAGTCTGATCTGAGGGAGGAATTTGTACTTTGTGGACTGAAGTGAGTTTATGAGCAAAACTATACAGCTCTTGCCAAGAGAATGGCTGATGATTGGGGAAGGGAGAGATCATTCCATAAGGGTTGTTATGAGACCTCAGGATTCCTACTTGCGGTTTCACCTGTCACTTTGTTTCCTGTGTTCCCGATTAGCTATCCCAAATGTCTGTCTGTCCCTGAATATTTTGGTACTGCCTCTCTCACCAGCACTTGAGAAGCAAGACCTCTGTTAAGGGCCCAGGTGGACGCTGATATTTGCTTTGTTCCTCTGCCAGCTCTTAAAGGTAAGGCATATTATTTGCATGGGGTGGGTTGCTCTATGGTTTGTGAGTTCCCTCTGAGATGATCAGAAATAAAGTGTTGGTGTCAGGACACAAAGAAAAGTTGAACAAACTACAAAGTTTTAATTAAGAAAAATAAAAAGAAAAGAAAAGAATAGAAGGGAAAAGAGCCAGGCTGGCATGGCTCAGTTGTTCCAATAAAACCTAAGGTTCTATGTTAACTGTCATTTAAAAAATGTTTTTAAGATTCTATAGGACCATGATACATTCATAGAGTCATATTTTACCTGAAGTACTTTTTGTACTGTTTTATCGAGAAGAGAGCTCTAAAACTGAAAAGAAAGAAAAGTTGAGATTTATAAATTTGCAAAATAAACCAAAGGCCACCACAGACACAACCGTAGAAGCCATAAGATAAAAGCCGAGGTAAAATAAGTTTGGAAACCCCATCCCCTGTCTTTCGATGCCACGACCAAAGAAGCCAGAGGCTCTGAGAAGCTGTGGCTGTTGCTCCTTGGACCATGGATGGATCATGGCGGAGCTTCCATCCAAGGTGCACCTCAACTCGCACCCCATCTGCCTGAGGATCCGTAGGCCCTCGGTGTACGAGGACCAGAATGATCGCATGTGGCTGCATGTCGTCATGGACACAGGAGGTGACCAGCAAGTATGGTTGTGCCAGGTAAACATGATCAGAGAGCATAACGCACTCACCTTCTGCCCGCTGAACTCGAGCACCATGCCTATGATGTGGATGCTCCACCCTGGCAGCCAGTACCTGGACTCCATGGGCCAGTTCTGGCGCATCGTGCACCACGTCAAGGAGGATGACATGGAGGAAATGATACTTGAGATGATGGACGACTCGTAGGAAATATGATGGGGTCCCTGGCTCTTGGCAACCTGAGCCCCAGTCCTGCTGGCCCGTTGATGGGACGTGTATACTTCTGTTCACGTTTTTACTAAGCTCTGTTGTTCTATCTGCAACCCCCTCGGTGCGAGGGCACATTGATCTCTCTCTCTCTCTCTCTCTCTCTCTCTCTCTCTCTGTTATTGTTCTTCCCTTTCTTCTTCTTCTTCTCCTTTCTCTCTCTCTCTCTCTCTCTCTCTCTCTCTCTCTCTCTCTCTCCCTCTCTTGCAAATCAATAAAAGCGTTTTGAGCCAAACTGGTGTTTCTCAGTGGTTGAGGGATGACCTATGAACCCGGAGCCCGGAGGTCACGGTTCGATTCCTGGTCAGGGCACAGACAAGAATTAACCAATGAGCCCTAGCTTGTTTGGCTCAGTGGATAGAGGGTTGGACTGTGGACTCTGGAAGGTCCCAGGTTCGATACTGGTCAAGGGCACATGCTCTGGTTGCAGACTCCATCCCCAGTAGTGGACATGCAGGAGACAGCCAATCAATGGTTCTCTCTCATCATTGATGTTTCTATCTCTCTCTCTCCCTCTCCCTTCCTCTCTGAAATCAAT